TACCAGACATACCTTGACGGAAAACACTTCACATGTATTTATACTACATTCCTCACAGCTAATTTACTCTTGAGCATGAACTGAAAAGACTTTTTTTTGTCCATTACTCAGAGACTGGATGATAAATTTAAAACACACACACACACATTTGCAGTTATGTTGACACAAGATACTTTGTAGAGTTCCATGCTGTACAGGATTATTTTTGGAAATAGGTCTGGAGGTTCAATATGATATTGATTAATAAATGGGGAACACTTAAGAAGGGTAAAAACAAAAAAATATTTAACTAGATTTTAGAACTATATGTATAAAGTAAACAATAAAGACTGGAGTAGGTTTTGGGAAGCGAGGATCAATGATCACATTTTATAATGATGGGATGGCAATACTAATTAGTAATAATGAGTAAAATACCTGGGAAGAGTTCTCTATATTCTCAGCTAACCAGTGAAAAGGAATCAAATGTTGAATTCTGAAGTCATGCTGGTGTAAATAGGTGTGAAAGACTACGTCTCATTTATATTCCTAGTAAAAATGTTTTATTTTATTCTGTCAACAGTATGGTGTGATAAGCTAGCTGCTGGTCTCATCTACGGTCATTGGATAAACAGAGAAACAGACGGTGACATAATAGTCCTGTCATCAGTGAATGTAACCAGACGTCTTTCTGTCCGTCCCTCCTTCATGTCGCTGATATTTTTTTCAAACAAACACACACACACACAAACATACATTATGTGTAAGCATCTGTGTGTTCTCACTGATAACATCTGTATTTTTAGACACTGGTAAAGTAGTGCAAGTACTAAGTACTGCATGGGCTCAAAGAAAAAACTGATTAGGGAGAGGGTGAAAGAGAGAGTGGGGCCATTTTGAACATTCCAGGATTTTTGGATTTGACATGGAGAATATCAACATTAAAATGTCCAAACACCCAGAAATAATTTATCCTCAAACTAAACACCTTACCAGTCAGCCTGCACCTTTATTATGTGTTTAAAGACAATGTGTAAACATGGAGGAAACACATCTGGGCTTTTGATTTACTTTGCTGCTCCTCTATATTGCCAAAACAGTGTGTTGCGCTCAGCTGAAGCTATATTAAAAACATAGGAAAATATAAACTACTAAAAAATGTCTGAATTGACTGATAGTGTATCTTGTTTTAGTTAGAGGATGAGTTGCTGGACCTCCAGAAGAAGATGAAGCAGACGGAGGACGAACTGGACAAATTCTCTGAGGGCCTGAAAGATGCTCAGGAGAAACTGGAATTGTCAGAGAAACAAGCTGCAGACGTGAGTGAAAGAGCAAACACATTCTCCACACTTGTACACTGAGGACAACCGGGGTCAGCTGAGTTCATTCGATTGTGTATAAAATGTAAAACAAAACCACGGGCCATCTCGCAAGAGTACGATACATAATATGATATATTATACACTGTTATGTCTGGAAGGAAATGTGTCCTGGACACAGGGCTGCTGGCCAATACACTTTCTGAAAAACAATAATGTAAAAAAAACAAAACAACAGCAACAAAAAAAACCACCAGCTAATGAAATTACAACAATTACAGATTGCATACAGTCCACTTTACCCATACAAATATTGCACATAGCAAATATACACACCCTGTGGTCAAAAACACTAAATAAAATATTACCTAATTACTGAATGCTTCAAGGCAATCAAAACATGGGAAAAGAAAAATGAAAAGAGTTGCTCCTGCTGTATTTGTCACAAAAGACCCCTCAGTGGTCTCTCTCTACGGCTCTAGCATCAGCCGTGGAATAACTTTGATCAGCCACTGAGTGGTCTGTTCCACTTCAGAGACTCTTACATTCCAGTGCAGACACTCCTGAAAGATGAAGACAAAATTGTAACCCAACAGAAGGTTATCAGGAAGGTGCCACAGTTGCTCTCCATCATCAGCTGTTTTCTGCACTCTAAATGTTAAGAACAGTCATCAGGATAAAATGGCAGTTCGCTTTAACCTGTGATACTGAAGTGAGTACCCTACCAATACAAAGATTTAGGTAAAATTATTTTACATTAATGTGCACATGTGCTGTTGTGATTTTGGGTATACTCAACAGATAATACCCAGTGTTTTCTTTAGGCCAAATTACTCCTGTTCCAGCAGCGCTGTCTTCTTGCCTTGAGATCACATTATCCCACAACAGACAAACAGATTATTCTAATTAAAGTCAAACTAATGTCCTCTGACATGCTCACTGAGGTGAGGGATCATTCAACCATGACCGCTTACTGAGCCGCTACTCGATGCTAAATTCTACAAGTGTACCTTTATGATAACCAGTGGCTAACAGAGCCTCACTGTTCCATCATACATACAGTACATGGAGTGAACAGAGACAAAGTTAATGATAATAACATGTGCGCTTTCAGTGCTATCACATGTCAGAATGTCTGCTGGGATAAAGCTGACCTCCAGGAGAATATGCTCACTGAAACACACAACTACTAGTTTTATGATTTCTGTGGGAATAGTATGATGTTTTCTACAGTAAGTGTTTCCATTGTGTCCTACTGTGACTAGACTTACAAATAATGAATAATTCTCTCTTTTATTTTACACTTGAAACTATCAACCTGTAGGACAACTAAACCTTAGGGAAAAAAAACACAGATTCTGAAATAATAATCCATCAATACAGACATTTAATAAATTACGCTAAAATTCACTGGCTGTTTCACTCACGTTACATTAATGAGCAGACTATTTGTTCTATGTGCTGTAAAGACGGTGCTGTTCCAAACTTGTCTGAGTGCAGCTCGGCTGATAAGAGGTCATTTGTGACCTGATCACCTGGAATGCGTCAGTCATTCCCCAGGACTGAAAGTGTGCAGTTGAGTTATTCTACGAGCTGTTAAATGTGTTCAGTGACGTACTTTGTCGATTACTGAATCAAACTGGATATGACTGTGTTCTGTAGGAGACCAAACCAAAGTTTGAGAAAGTAGTTTTACACAAAATAATTAGGTGGAAAATTAAGATAAACAGTTCTTCTGTGGCCAATCAGTTGCCATCTGGCTAAAGGCATCATATTTTCAGTTCTAGGCAACACCACAAAACCACAGAACTGCATTTCTGTCTGGTGGTGTTGTTGTCTTCCAGCATTTCAGCATGTACAGGCAGACATATGTAATCATTTCTGTGTGTCTGTGTTGTGCGGATAAGCGGTAAGAGATTTAGAGGACGGCAGACAAAGAAGCACCACAAAATAAAACGTTTTTCTTCCCCCTGAGCTTACAATAAGATGTGGTGTTGTTTAAGTCTCGCAGAGGATGTCCCTGGGATACGCAGCATTGTCCTGCACACAAAGAGAAAGGAAGTGTCTGACACACAGACACAGAGTAGAAGGATGAGACACTCTGGATTATCCACTCACTGAACAACTATTAGAACATTTCTAAAAAGCCCTGCACTGAATCGGTCATGTTGGATTTGAATTTGTGGTTTGCAAAAGTTTGCAGGATTATGCTCCCTCTGGTGAAGTCTAAACATTGACACACAGCCTTGCAGCCTCTCAGGCATTCGTCTCCACTTTCATTAATCCACCTCCACATGTCACTGTATTAGAGGCAACAGTCAAGTGATTACACATCTGAATTCACACAGTGCACAACCAGATTGGAAACCCAGAGGGGGCTGGGGCGGCCGAGCTAAAGATCCCAACAAGTGAGCAGTCAATTTACAGAGAATGGTTCTTCATGCACTGACAATAAGGATATCTGGGTCATTAAACTTTACTTGGCCTGCAAACGGACAAAGGCTCTTTGGCTCATATACACATTGTTATGGTTAGAGAGGGAGCCGTGCAGTCTTAATACCATCATTTACCACAGCAACAGTTACTGTTGTAGGAGTAGGCTGAACTGTGGTAGGCAGAGAAAGCAGGGGGGCTCTGGTATGTGAGGAATGTGGCTAAGGCAAACAGAAAGTTCAACAGAGTTGTTTTGAATGAAATCAATGCTTCCAGCTTTTCCGGTGCAAAGGGCAAATCAAACACAAAACGGCCATGGCCACATGCAATTGATTCAGTAAGATTTCCTCCTTTGTACATAGCAGCCACCCTGAATTTAGAGCGAACCTGATGCCAGTTGAAGTGGGCTAATCTGGGTTCTGCTGCCCAGTTTGCTCACCCACCATTGTGTTTGCTCAGTGTCAGATTGTGTGAATAGAAAACAATGAGGGTAAACATGGGAAGGGCCGGCAGAGACACATGAAGGATGGGGCTTAAACATGATTTACACCATAAACTGGACACTACCTTTTGGCCACACAGGTTTAAATAGTATTAACATGCTGTCACAGTTCCATTGCTGCAGATCTCATTTTTAGTGAAATAATAATTACACACAGACACAAAAATGCCCAACATTTATTCATTTATTTTATTTAATGGTCAAATTTCAAGTGTGGTCTTAGTGTTCGGACATTATTAACCACTAACATTTTTGATCTAATACTCTTTTGCAACCGTATAAAAGTGTTATCCATCCATCCATTACTGTATCTACCACTTAATCCAATTTAGGGGTCACGGGGCAGCCCATCTCAGCAGTCACCAGTATCTGCAACACTCGATGCAAAAATGACATTTTTATCTATTAGCTAGTAAAAACATCACCACGGCGACAAAGACAATTCGTCCATTCAATTAATGGAAGTAGTACAGTGATGATTATTTGATTACCACAGAAATAACAAATTACTGCATTCAGGAAATGCTTGCTTCTAAGAATATAGCATTGAGTATTTATTTTCTATATATATATGTATATGTATATGTACTGTATATGGACCCTGCAGACCCTTACCCCAATCTTAAACATTTTAAATATCTCTAAGATTAATATATTTTAGCCTATTTCTGATCTAAGCCTAATTCCAATACAAAAACGAGCACACGAACACATAGGCCCCGCCTTCTCTGACCTCATCGTCCCAATCACCTCTCTCCTCCTCCGGGTACCACAGTCTGCCGCTCTCAGCTCTCCACCGCGCAGCTTTTAACATTCCTCCTCCTCCTCAAACCCCAGCCGTCGGGACCAAAAACTACCAGAGGACAGACCGTTTTGTTAACACTTCACCACATTCCTACAGAGCAGAGAAACTTTTGGAGATCACCTGGACGCTCTTACTTCCTGGTTATATAACCTTTGCTGCACTTGAACGAAACCTCTACATTCCAGACTTGGGCCCTGAGCGGACTTCGACTTAATTTTTTCCCTCTCTTTATTTTAAAGTATCCCAAGGCTGTTCTCCTCTAAAACGTTCGAGTGTCAGGAGCCAGCGAAACCATCCTAGGTGTTATTGCACAACCTTAAAGTAGTCTTAAGTGAGTTTTTACTTCCCGTGTTTAGTCTTAAGTTAAGTGAGCTAACGGTGAACAATGGCTTCGAGCTCTGTGGATGCCGTGAAGAGGAAGATTCAGGTTTTGCAGCAGCAGGCCGACCAGGCAGAGGACCAGGCTCAGATGCTACAGAGAGAGCTGGACAGTGAACGGGAGATCCGAGAGAAAGTGAGACAATCGACCCTTCTTTCCCTTTTCTATAGCTCTGTGCTTAAATCTCACTTTACACACCGTGTCTGCCTTCGGTGTGCTTATTTGGTGTTTCTTTTCCTGTCCTACGTGCCTCAGCGGCTCTGTTGCGTCTCATGCAGTTCGTGTCATTGATTCTTTGGCGGGCGTGATTGTGCCACAATACAAGGCGTTGGTCTCTAATGAAAAAAAAGTTTGGATTCCTCCGGGTCTCTGCGCAGGCGCAGAGTCCTGTTCCTCATGGGCCTTAAAGCACCACGTCGATCGCCTCTAACCCATTATGTGGATGTCCAAGTACCTTTACCGCTCATATGTTTTAATCTCATTTTAAAACGTAATATGCTGGTAAACCAGGATTCGTTTTATAATGACCGGTAACGTTTTGGTCTGTTTTATTCAAACACGTCAAAAGTTTTATTGCCTGTTTAGCAAAAAAGACATTCCACAGCATTCGTATGGTCTATTTCATTAAGTGAATAACATTGAGTTAACAGTTCTAATGACTAATTAACTGTTAATTAAGGAAGTGTTAGAAAACATCTTTATGAAAAAGTATAATTGTACACATTTACTCCTCCCATATGTTTAAAGAATTAGCCTCCAGATATGTAGATTGTTGATTTCTCACATGGATTCTGCCCACGGCTTGTATTTTCTCACGGTCCTCTTCTTTACTGGTAGTTAGGTTTTTAATGGTTGAAAAGGTTTACAAATGACAAGTGGTACAAATTGAACTCGAAATTTCCATTTAAGAAGAAGGATAAGAGGAGGAAGAAGGCAAAGACCCTAGCTTGAGTTTGAATTGAAATAGTCTATTCACTGCCCACTGAGACACACATTTGTATAACAAGTAGACATATTTCTTGGTCTTGAAAAGTAAATGTTGCACTTGTTCATTTAAACATTTAGGAAAAAGGCATTGCACTTTGCTTATAAAGAAGGCCATTCAAATGGTCTGTATAGCAACCTCTGCCACAAAAGTCATGTTTATTTCTATCTTTTGGTGCTTACTATACAGATATAAAAATAGTTCTGATTTACTTATCATTTGTTACATAGTACATTCCATCATTGCACGCATTACTGCAGTTGTTCCTTTGGAGCAACACCTTTTATTGCACCTGATTTCTTAGCAATACCTGGTTTCTTAACATTACCTTGCTGCCACCCCATGGGGCTGATGTGTAATAGGATCTTTGGGATTATTAAATTAAAAGAGCCAAATATAAACACTGGTTTGAGCTTCATTTACATCTTTCTTCTTGTGGCCTTTTCTAATTGTTGTTTTCTTGTTTCCTTGACAAAACAAAACACAGAAAGGCGTCACTAAGACTAAGAACTTGTTTTTTGCTGACTGCTTGTCATACCACACTGTTAATCTGTATAATAACTATGAATAAATAAAGAAACACACACTCGGCCTGTTTGAGCACACAATAACAGCTGTAGTTGTATTATTACTGCTTTACTAAACACACAACTGATCACTGAACTTGTGTGGATTATTAAACCTTATATAAAATGCTGCAGGTTGACCCACACTTGTCACCTTAATATTGTTGGACTTTACCCAAATCCAAGTTTTAAGACTTTGGACTGCAAAACAGTTGTAGGCAGCAGAAAAAAATGCTTAGTAGCACAGGTACAAGACAGTCCTCGCCTGTTTTACATGTAGCTTTATGGCCAGCTCTGCCATTTCCTTTGCATGGGATCTGGTTAACGACTGGACAAGGAGAGAGAGAAAGAGAGAGAGTGTGTGTGTAGGCGAGTAGGAGGGAAAGGTGTGGCTCACAGTAAATATATGGTGGCAGAGATGATGAAAGGAGTGGGAATAACCCCTTTGTTACTCTGTCTCTTAGGTAACAGGTTACTGTTATTTAACATGATTTACACCTCGGTGTGTAGTCCACCAGTTGTATCAGTCATGTAAACACAACAACTCGTCTTTCTCGATAAATTGATCATAACTGCCTTAACCTTTTCGTAATGGGACAATGAGGGTCATTCTTCACCTTTCTCTTCTTTATCTCTCACAATGTATCCATTACACCTAATGTGAAAGATGAGATGAAAGATTTGTAATTAATAACGAAGTTACTCTCTTTTTTTATTTAATTAATTGAATGTGTAAACACTTCTATATAGGGTCAATTGTATAGGTACTTGGTAAACCTTTCTGATGTGTGGAAACACATTTTGATCTCCCATGACATTCCTTTTAGCCCTAATGTGTCACAGCATTCTCTGCTGTCACACTTCTCTGTGTATGTGAGCTAAGTGTGAGAGAGAGTGGTGCTTTTGTGTGGCAGGGTTGGTTTGGTCCCATATGTGAATAATTAGGGCAACCTGGAGTTATTTCTTGACACAAAAACTCTTTCATAGGCACATGGAGAGATCAAGACAGGAATCCTGCTGAGTGTGTTAAGGTAGTGATTCATTGTAAAAAAATGTGAACGTGTAAAGAAAAAAAAAAGAACTCCTGGCTACAGATCTTTATAAAACTAAGCATGGTTTGTGTGCTATTTATATTGTTTTTCTGCCAGCATTTGAGACGTTACTCAACACCACAAACATTTCCCAAACGTTCTGTCAGATTAAAAAGACAATTTGCAGTTTTTCAAATCTTATTTTAGCTGCTCATATGCATTTCCAAGTTGCTCACTGTTTTAATGATTGTTCAGGCCAAAGATAAACTTTATGGACTTTCTGGTAAAATATTTCTATCATTTTCTATCAAGACTTCAGCATATTAAGTCAATGAAAACACCAATAAAAAAGAGAAGTGTAACCTTAGAAGCATTGATTTCCTAATTTAAAGTTAGTTTCGTTCTGTAATGCTGGTGTGTTGAAAACAGAAGTCATTTTGTTGCTGTTGTGGTATGCAGTTTTTACTGTAGAACATGCAAAAATACAATGTATTACCTGAATTATACAAAGCCATTTTAAACCGGATTTAAGTAATTTTCACGGACATGTTAGATATGGGAATAACGCCCCTCCCAGGATGTCGGCGATTCTGGCCCAGCACTTCCTTTGCTTCTACTCCCGAAACTTCCTGTCCCTGGGCTCCAGCCCTGATGAACAGGAAAATTAGTGTGTGGACAACTTTGTGGTTTTAAGTGCCTCATGTTTGTTGTAATTAGGTACATAATTGTTACTGAAAGCACAACATATTTATTTCAGAAACCAGCTCATTTGAACAGCAGGTGTGGTTCTCTTTAAGACTAAAACAAAATGTTAGGGCAGTTGAAGTTAACACAGTTATAGCCATTATTGATTGTGAAATTAATCAGAATAAATGTTTAACACATTTTAATAAATGGGCAGAATGATGCCCTGTTTATTCTATATCCAAGAAATGCATGGTTTGCTTCACCAAACACAAGGCAAGGAGTAATTCTACCGCCTACAAGCTAACCGACACAATTGTGGAATGGATAGCACAAGACTGTAGACTGATTATTATTGTTGAGGACGAACGCCTCACAGAAGTTTTATACTAAATCTTCAGGAGTTCTACAAGCCACTGTCGGTGCACAGAAAGAAAGAAGAAATAAAATTGACCAGTTTTGAAAAGCAAAAAAATTGAGTCCTACTTTTGCATCATTTTCTTGACAATTTGAAATAACAATTCCATCATTTGGATTAGTCAAAGATAAAAACAGGTGTGAAACACGTACTACTTGCTGTTATTTATCTATATGTTATTTCAGTCATATACTATATTATTAATATTTAAGAATGTTCATTTATTTTTCCAATGACACTTCCCAGTTTCACTGATTTAGTCGGATTTCTTCTCTGCAAATGTTTCTACTTTCCAAATATACCTTCCACTTGTTGATGCTTCTGGCAGTGGTTGTCTTTCTAGGGAACACTCCCATGTTCCCTGTGGTCTGGCTGTATATGCAGGCCAGGGTTGTGGCTTCTAGTTATAGTGAGAAAAGAGAATATTTTGGTAAATTTCATTTGTGCAAGGCTTAATATGTCAAGTGTTAAGTGTTGGTAAGTAGCATTATAATGTTAAAAAGTGTGTTTTATTATTGTATTTCACAATGTACAAACATTCTACAAATGAAATGGTTTTGGTTTTGGTGTTTGTGTCCAACTTTAAAAAAGGGCATGTCTAAAATAACTTCAGAGCAGGATCCAGGCATGATTAAAAGGGTCGGTGATGAATATTGTATTTATATTGCCTATAAAAAAATATTAGAACATAGTAAATTTGTCCAACATGTACTTAAGTGTAAATCACCCCATTTAGTGTGAACCACTCCATTAGAAACTGTAGTAAAATTAGGATTTATGGAAGTTCCGAGTAAACCAAGCGCTCTGAGTTCTGAAATGTTCAGGCCTAGATTGACTTTTCAGACATCCTGTCATTTGTTTTGTGCCATATGGATTTCAGTCAACATCTTGTCGGGGTTTTGCTGCTCAATGTTTTTACAACAGTTTTATTCTAAGCCACAAAGCAGCTCAGGAAGAGCTCTGTGAAAGTCAGGTTACATGCAGTTGGAAAAACAACATAAAGAATTAATTGTGAGGCTCGTCTGGAGGTTCAATAATCTACTTTCATGCTTCTTGGCAAGCTGGCCTCCACTGTGTACATCTCTCTTTATGTGTCACTTCTTATTGGAAAATGACGACACACTTGTGCAGGGAAAGAAAGTGTGCAGCCGTGTCAGGAACATCATTCACAACAGCATTGTGCTGCTTATTAGCCCAGTGCCCCAGATTCAGGCAGTAATTAGATTTCTCTTTCATTTGCCCTTGGTTCCATTTCTAATACACAGTTTATTTAGGTAGTTTTGAGTCAGGCCTGGTAAAACAGTCTGTCCACCATAGACTGTTACTGTGAGGAGCTTGATGGCTGTTATGTTGTCAGTTGTGGAGACACCAGGTAACAAGCGCAAAACAACCATTTTTACAACTTATTATAACGTCATATGTTACTTATTAAAGAAGTTTAACCCCAATGAGTTATAAAAGGATCGGCTCTGTCAATTTAACATTGCAATCATGCATTCTTAAATTGACAGAACCATTGACAGAGACATAAATGCTCTTCAGTTTTATTTTTTAAATAGAATAATTAGTTGGCATGTGTCTGTCCTTTCCTGTTTGTACTGGGAGTTAAAAAGAAGGGGTAGTCCTGAAGGTTAGGACTTAATGAAAGTCTTAATCTTACCAAGCTAATACATTAAAGATAATAATAAGTATTATTGGTTGAAAGTATTTCCCTTTGCATTGGTTTATGAACTGACTTACTAATTATATAAGATTCAGGAGCAGAGGCATTCTCATTGGATGGCTAACTCTGTGATGTAAAGGGATTTGAGTGGTCATCAGCACTGAAAAACATCTATATAAATGGAGCCCACTGTTATGTACAGTAATTGGATTGCTATTAGTAGATACATTACTTCCTGGAAATGTCAGGGGTTGCAAAATAAAGATAAACTGAATTTCCCAGATGTTGTATTTTGTATCTTAAATTAATTGTATAACAAGGAATAAAACATATATGTAATTTGACATGTGCTTCAATAAGCGTATAGTCACCTTTAAGTTAGCATTCTTGTTTTTTTTTTGTTTTACCGATTGAGGTTGACAAAATGTAACCTCGACGTGTAACCTCACCACTAGATGTTGCCATGTCCTGGACGCTGTGCCTTTAAATCAATCTAATCACCACTATCTGTAACAAACGTGTATGTGTGTATAATGGTCTAAAACCGCAGTCTTCCTGATACTACACCACAGACATTCTCCATGGTTTGTTTTACCATATAAGGCGCTGGTGTGCATCCCTGGCAGCAAGGAAATGCAAAGTGGCTGCTGAAGGAAGGGGCACGGCCCCGACAGAGAGAATACCAGCTCCGAAGAAAGAAAGAATAATTAAAGGGAGGAAAAGGGAGGATGTTTATCTGCCGACTTCCTGTCACATTTTACTATTTCCTTTTTTGTAAAGCAGTGCCCGTGGCGTTGCTCAATTGCTGAAATAGTTTTCTTCTTGTGTTACCTTTTTCTTTAGGATTCCTAAAAATACTTCCTCTGATATGTTTTGCTTTCTGTTGCGTTGGTTAAATTTTTTTTTTTTGTGAAAGGTGGAAATCTCTTATTATTACCATCAGGACCTTTTCTATATTGGTCAAAGATCAGTAAATTGGAGACAGGAGACTCTTTATTTATTTTTTTTAACCGTGACACAGACTGTCTTTGTCTTTAGGGAAACCCCTTCCGTCCATGGTGTGGTAAAAAATCTAATGGCAGATAAAACAAACAGGTTAAACATACAGTATGTCATCATAGCTACAGATCAACACACTTCCGCCATAGTTGTGGTGTCTGTGACTTTTGTGTAGCCTGACAACAGATGAACAATCCATTGTGCAGGAAAAAATATCTGTCAGCTATCTGTCAGCTGATAAGTTTAGAGCGGGCTTTTGTAAAGGAGTTCTGACTGACGGTTTGTTAAAAGCAAAAACATGCACATTTTCGTGTGAGATTTCCCCAAATTCAAAAGGACAGTAGTGTCCATAAGGGAATAAATTAAAGATTTTGAGGTTTTTGGACTGATTTATGATTCATTTATTCGTTGTTGGGTTAGGTTTACCTCTGTGAAGTGCTGCTTGTTTTAAGACACGTCAGCCCGAGCTTAACAGACGTTTCCTGTCTCCTATCAGCGGTCACTGCTAGCAGCTGTCAGTGCAGTGAGGCAGGATCTGGGAAGGGACAAAAAAAGAAACCAGGAGAGGAAAAACACAGCAGTGGAAAGACTGAGTGACCAGTCAGCACTTAGATGACATAAAGAAGGGATGGAGAAAAATGTAAAAAACCTAAGACTGGTGCTGGTTACAAGAATGTAGGAACCTTTGCCTTCATTTCCTGACATTGCGTCTATAACAGAATAGACGTTGGTCTCGTCATTCTTTTCTGCTGAGTTCTCAGTCTCAGTGGCCTTTCCTGATTCGTGTCAGGAACTTTATCATGCCTTGTTTGGAGCAGAATAATTCACATACCTGTAAATTTAACGGCAGACACTTTGACCCTTGATCTGACTTCTGGGCTGAATGTTTCGCTAATGAGTCACTGACCTACTAACTGCTGCTCTGCAGCTGTGCACAGAATAATGTCTGTGTGAAGAAATCCTACGCCGCTCCAGCTCAGGAACTGGGAGTAAAATTGTGGAACGCACTGTTTTCTAGTGAATGGTCCACTGTTAGAGTAGCTCAAAAGTAAAATCACATCATCCTGACTATAAACATGGTTTGGTTTTGGTCGTGGTTGACAAATCTCTGTTTAACAAACTCAGAGGAAATCCTGTTTTTGTCTTCTCTGCCTTTGTTTACTAAGGGCAGAAGAGAAGAATTCCACTTTTTCTGCCTACATGCCCCATTTCGGAATTTACATTCCCCAGAAGCATTTAGATCCAAGTCCTCTTTGTATATTAGAAAGGATTAGACTTTCCGGCCAGACTCAGCAGATAATGCTGCTGCTTCATCAAAGGCTGTTTATTACAGGTAGGAATGTCTTCCATAGAAGATCATCTAAAGGCCTCCAGCTGTGTCTGTTCTATGGATTGCTGGGAAACCTGAGCCGCCCCAGTAAGAGCAACAAGATAACAGTGTCCATGCACTGAGGGAAAATACTGAAGTGAGCAAATGTTAATTACAGACCAACTCCAGTGGAAAATAAATCAGTCCTAACTGTGACGCAGAAATGGTTTTTTAAAGATGAAATGTGTTTTGGTCATGTTCACGGGAACAGAAGTTTATGGAATAACTGCCACTGGTAAACAATACAAACATTGATTCAATTGATTTAAAATTTTAATCAGATAAATCACAGGCTAGCTGCGGATTAATGTGGATTAATGCATTTTTTGTGTATGCATGAAAAGAACAATTATTGACAGCAGGGAAATGTTAGTGATTTATACCAGTTTTTGTTTTTGAGTAATTGAAATGGAAAAAAATGTTAAGTAACTATGTGCAGAAACTATGTACATTTATTCATAGAGTTTGGTGGATTTCAGTCTGCAAACATGTCAAACCCAAAACACCGTAAAAATCTATAGTAATATGGCTTCTTTCAGAGCGTCAGTGAAGCCGTTGTCCTCAACAACAACAATAAGTCTGTAGTCTCCCACAACTCATTTGTCAACTGTTTCAATTTGTCAGTCATAGTTTAAGTTTCTGCTGAATGAGGTGATATTTTAAGCTCCTGCTGTGTGTACAGACATGTAATAACATGTAATAATTGGGTATACAGTGTGGGTCATTCAGCCTATGTTTTAAGTCATAGTAAAACGTAAAGTATACCATGCATATATGTTTTATAAATATAAAGTTAAAATATTGTAATATATATATATAAATCTGTGCACTTGGTAATTACGCAGTCATATTATAATTATTAATGATATAATGAATTATTTATGAATAGAAATGCTGGGTTTATTTTGTTATTTGAGATTTTACATTACAATTCAATACATGAAGCAGTCACTGCCCCAGGTAATGTACACTATGTACTAGTGAAGAAAAAAATATAAGCTTGATTCCGAACCCATTCTTCACTCCGTGTTATGAGGACGACATACTCAGCTCAATGAATCATTAAAAACTGATTTTCTCTATTTTTCTGTTCCATTAGGCGGAGGGTGATGTAGCAGGCCTGAACCGTAGGATTCAACTGGTGGAGGAGGAGTTGGACAGAGCCCAGGAGAGGCTGGCTACAGCGCTGCAGAAGCTGGAAGAGGCTGAGAAGGCTGCAGATGAGAGTGAGAGGTCAGTAAAAAAAAAAAAAAGAGAGATTAAAACCAGTGTCGGCCTGGATGTTTCTCTCAGACACCTGCATTCAATATGAATGGGAATTTCATATTGGATCGGGACTTGGTGTCGTGTATGATAAAATATTTGACCTCATTTTGCCCAGCACCTGGCTCTGATGAACTGTACAGCCTGATAATGTTTATGTTCAGTACACATTTTCTTCATTTCCTCTGTGTCTGGTCCATTCAGAGGAATGAAGGTGATTGAGAATCGAGCAATGAAGGACGAGGAGAGGATGGAGATCCAGGAGATGCAGCTGAAGGAGGCCAAACACATTGCAGAGGAGGCTGACCGTAAATATGAGGAGGTAAGTCCAGTTTTCCTTCTCACCGCTTGTATATTGTCCGATGGAAGTTCAAAGTTGTTCCCTGTCTTAAGTTTTGAGTGTTTTTCTTCTCAGGTGGCTCGCAAGCTGGTGATACTGGAGGGAGATTTGGAGAGAGCTGAGGAGAGGGCTGATCTTTCTGAGTGGTAAACCATAAAAACATTAACACTACATTAACGTTTACATTCACATACTCTTCCATGTTTGTTTTATTTCATGTTTTTGTTAAGACCAATAAAATGTATTGAATGTATGTCTACAGCAAAGCCAGTGACCTGGAGGAGGAGCTGAAAAATGTGACTAACAACCTGAAATCCTTAGAAGCTCAGTCTGAGAAGGTACGTTTTGGGAAAGAAGTTTCAGCTATATACCGTTCATACTCGCATATGAGCCAAATTTAAAATACCAAAAAATAAAGATCAAATTGGGGGACGGCTTATCAGCATCATAGCCGGTAATAAACACCAAGTCGGAACGTATCGTCAAAAATATCAATATATACATATATATATATATATAATTATTTTAACTCTTAACACTGATATACAATGGTCCCTCTCCTATCGTGGTAGTTGCGTTCCAAGACCCACTGCAAAAAGGAAAAATCCACAAAGTACAGGCGAGATAGCTAGGCGAGATATCTATTTATTTTAGCTATATTATTTACATATATATATTTACCCTTTATGAACCTCTTCCACACTGTTATCAACCCTCCCTAGACTGTATCACCCTTTCCCACACAATTATATGCAGAGTAGAGTTGTAGAATGGAAATATAAGACATTTATTATAAGACATAATAAGACATTACGTAAATAAATTAAATACACGACACAGAAGAGGTTAGCGCTCAGCTGCAGGAGGGACGCAGTTGCAGCCCCGGCTGCAGGTGAGCGCAATTGCAGTAATCAAGCCTCTCCTTATATTAGTAGAAGCCAGGACCGAGATGAGAGGAGAGTGAGCAGAGTGCATACTGGCCAAGACGGACGGACCGTATATGACACCGCAGAAGCGCACATTATTGTAAAGAAAAATAAAGGCTGTTAACTGTCATCTGTGTCAGCGTCTCCTTTAGGCTTCATAACAGAAGCCTGAGAAGATGCCGAGCGTTTAGGAGGCATCGTAGGGCGTTAAATTAGGGTCAACTTTCACCAATGTCTGTGTATTTCGTAACAAACATTGGTGAAATCTTCGTAATTTTAACGTAAACTGTGTTAACCTAAACCAAGATAATTTTCTAATTCTTTGTTGATGCACACAGCATTGTGGTCAGCTTATATGTGAGTTTTTGTAAAAATCACCATTTTCGAATCAATTTTCAGGGGTCAGCTTATCCGCGAATCAGCTAATATACGAGTATGTACGGTATTACAGTTAAGACTTCGAACCATCTGGTTTCTCCAGGTATCTGGTCATTGTGATTCAATGGTGAAACATTTTATTTTATCAGGACATCAACAGTTTGAACGCAAGAGCAGCTTCCTGTCTATATAACAGGAACAAACCACAGAACTAAATATGTAGTATAACACAATGTACACAGCAGTGTACACATGGCAACCAGGTCTTACTGCCTGTGGCCTGTCATTAGATTCTTACTGTATCTGGAGGTTGTAATTAACTTCGTCTGAAAGCACACAACATCAACCAGGTGTTGTTTCAAAGTGACTAATTGAAAGAGATGTATCACTAGATCCGGCTTTTCAGACAAAAAAAAAACTTTGATATTTTTTTCCTTACCTTTATAACATAAACCCTAGTGGCTACAGTATTTGTGTTTTTAAAGTCAAGTATCAGACTGTTAAAGCATACTTTGCCCAGCAGCCAGTAGAGACCTGCATTACATTCCTCCAGGTTGATTTGTTCCTCCCCAAGCACGGACACGCAGGATGAAGTCATGCCAGGAGCAGCACATGACGTGTGCTGTACCTGCCCCCACCTCGTTTAGTCAGACCTGCCAGTGTTGACATCACAGCTCAACCTGATCCTGAGGGCAGGACAACACCTTCGGTCTTTTGTGAAAACTTGAGTGCCTCCTTTTTTAGTTGCTACTCCTTAAAAGGGAGCGGTTAAATGGCCCAGAGAGGTTTTTAATCACTGTAGGATGGCATGTGATAACTGAAAGCATGTTTAAACATGCAACTGTGTTCCTGCTCCTAATTAGGAAATGTTTGTTTTTTAATGTGTGTTTTTTCTGTCAACAGTACTCAGAAAAAGAGGACAAGTACGAGGAGGAAATCAAAATACTGACTGACAAACTGAAGGAGGTTAGAATGTTTTCCTGTGATCGTATGACAGGACATGCTTCATAAACATAACCTCACCCATACAAGTCATACAAGTCATGACAACAACATTACCCCTAGAAAGTATTTCTATGGACTAAAAGGAATTTTAAGTAAATAATTTCCAAACAGTATAGCTTTATTTTGGTAACCTTATATGTATTTAATAAAAAAGTATACATTTTTTTAATTAGTACTTTATCGCCCAGGCAAAAAATATAAAAACTATAAAAGGGTAATTTTTAACTAATGAATTGCACATATGAATTAAATGTGTTATTGCATTTGTGCTTAATTTTTTAATACTAGGCTGAAATGCTTTTCTTTCAGATAAGGATATTAAGAACAAAATAGTTCATACTTGAAGAGGATAATAATAATAATATATGCTGTGCTCACAAACAGGAAGTATTTAGTGTACAAATCCAGCCGAGTGTGAAGTATAATCAGGAAGTTAAAGTACCTAATCCAGAATGAAACAAATTGTTTAGAAGTACTCTAGAACTACTAACAATATGCCAGAGAATGACTTAGTCTGGAGTAGCGTAAACATTTCTATCATTACTGACTTAAAGATTTATTCAGTAAAGTGGTATAAGCCTTAAAAATGAAGGTTCTGTACATTTAAATTTACAAGATTTAAAAGCATAAATAAATACAAATGTTTTGAGGTCAGCTAAAGTACAGAAACTAACGAGCAGTTTTATTCTAATGGCAGTGGTTAAGGTTGCATCTGTTGACATACTGTGTCCTGTGTCTGTTACTCTCAGGCTGAAACCCGTGCAGAGTTTGCGGAGAGGACAGTGGCCAAACTGGAAAAGACCATCGATGACCTGGAAGGTACAAGATCTGAATTATCCAGTTTTTGGAAATTCATTCTTATAATAACTTTTTTAAAAATTTGTCCAAAAAATCCAAAAAATATGATTTGAATTTGGGGTCTTACATGAAGTATCCATCTCTCATCATCCATCGTAGCTAACATCCTATTACACACAGGCACAGGGGTATGGTTAAGTTTG